TAAATTGAAACTATCAATATCAATAAGTCAGTAAGATTTACTTTCAAAAAGTGAGAAAAATTTCTAAGACACTAAATTTTAGATATGTCAACTCAAAATATACATAATTAAAAGAGCAAAATAAAAGAGAGATGGCAGGAAACAGGAGGTAGACTGGAGATGAGAGAGGAATGGGGAGTAAGCATGATCAAGAAGCAGTATGGGACCGGAGATTTAACTCAGTGGTTCCGCCGCCTGCCTCACAAGCGAAAGGTCCCTAGTTCAATCCTCAGTACCAAAAAAAAGCGCAGTATGTGTATGTACCAGTTCCCCAGAATTCATGTAATTATTATGTATCACAAATATATACCAACAATAAAAATAAGAAAAAGCCACCATCTTAGCTTTGCTAGAATTTCAAGTGTGTGCATCTGTCTCTCATGGGACTGCTGAGAGAATATTTGAACCTGCCTTTTTGGGGGAGTAAAAAGTGCTCAGAGAGGCCATAACCTCGGATAAGGCTTACATTCAAGAGTTACTCATTTATAAAATAGGTATTTGTGAACACCCAGTCTTTGCCAAGCCACATCCTAGCAGTTGTGCTGGCCAGAATCTCTGCTGTCTCACTGTCAAGATGGGCAGTAAAAACAAGGACAAGGCATGTTTGAGTTCTGCCTGGGTAACTTAGCCAAACTGTCTCAAATATTTAAAAAGAGCTGGGGATGCAGCTCAGCAGTAGAGCACCCCTGGGTTCATACCTCATACTACCAAAAAAAAGGAATACAAAAGGTAATTTCAGCAGTGATTAGACACTGTGGAAAAAATAAGGTAATAAGGTAGAAATAGGAGGCCAGGGAAGACCTGTTAGAGGTGATGTTCAAGCTGGGATACGAATGACAAGGATTTTAGTGTCTCTGCATGAATAAAGAGTGTTCCAAACAGCTATCAACTACAAGCTTCTTAAGAGCAGCAGAGCTTGCTGGGTGGGACTTGAGACAGAAAATACTACTGTGGCTGAAGCCCGGGTGAGCCAAGGCCCTGATGGAAGGAGTCAAAAGCCGTGGTCGCCTAGTGCCTGGCACAGCAGCAGGGAACAGGCGTTCGTTGTCATTGCAGTGGGAAGCTGCTAGGGAGCTGTAGACAAGGCTGTAAAATGACTTTCTTTTAAAGGTGTCATGGCTACCTGCAGTGGGAAGAATGCGGCCACAGAGGGCCAGGAGTAGAAAAGGAGACTACACAGGAATTGGATGAGTTCATTGCATATTTTAGAATTAGGCTTGCTTGATAGATGGCGGGGGCAAGAAAGGCTTTTGGGTTTGAGGCTTCACCAAATTGAACAAGAAGTAGAGCAGACAAGAGAAGGTGTTCTAGTCTCACAGTCAGAACTCAAAGCTAGCCAGGTGTGATGCGTTTGCCTGTAATCCCAGCACTCGGGAGGCTGTGGGAGGAGGATGGCTAAGAATTCAAGGTCAGCCTGGGCTACAAAGGTGAGTTCAAGACCAGCCTGAACTACGTAGTGAAACCATGTCTCAAAACCCCAAAACTTAAGTTTAAAATTGTTTTTCCTTCCCTGCCTGACAACTGTTGTAACATTTCAAGTCCCTTTGTACTTTTTCTTATAAAGTGGTAACACTGCTTGAGCCTCTCCCTCTCTTAGCTGCCACAGAGGCCATAGGGAGGTGTAAATTGACATCTGAAGGGCTGAATTAGTACCAAGAAGTGATTGGCAGGATGAATTCAGTCATATTTTTTGAGATAGTCTCACTAAGTTGCCGAGGCTGGGCTCGAATTCATGGTCCACCTGCCTCAGCTTCCTGGAAATTAAGAACTTTAAAAGTTATTTTATCTGCTGCCTTTTTGTCTTGTTTTGTTTCTTGTAAGTATTTTCAATTTGAGTAGCAGAAACTTGAATCTAGCGTGTTGAAGATAGACACTACATCATTGGTTAAATAGTTAACTTGGTTATCTTCACATCGGGATACCCTGCACATCTTCACGGGATTACTCGAGTCCTCCAAGACTCCCATTTTCTATGAAAATACTATGACTTTGTCTCCTCTGTGTTCTCTGCTCAGATCTCAGCGGCTCCAGTTTGATGTCTCTTCCCCTAATGGCATCTTACTCTTCCGAGAAACCAGCAAAATGATCACGATGTACGGTAGGTGCTTTAGAGGAGCACACCCAGGAGGGGATTCTGACTTAGCCACCCTGCTACACGTATCATGTCCTCTTGGGCTGTCCCAGGTAGAAGCCAGGACAACACTCCCCCGGGTGCTATGTGCTTCATCCTCGAGTGTTAGTGCGCCAGCTGCTACAGAATACAGAAGGCCTGCTGGAATCTGTCTGCCTTTGGAGTGAGAGGGGTGAGATGGCGTAAAAACTCCGTCACAATGTGGTCAGTTATATACCTTACGTGTCCACTCAGGCAATCGCATCCTGACACTAGGAGAGGTCCCGAAGGATCAGGTCTATGCGCTGAAGCTCAAGGGCATCTCCATCTGCTTCTCCATGCTGAAGGCCGCCCTCAGCGGGAGTTATGTCAATTTCGGAGTCTTCCGCCTCTATGGAGATGACGCCCTGGACAACGCTCTGCAGACCTTCATCAAGCTGCTTCTCTCCATTCCCCACAGTGACCTCCTGGTAAGCCTTAGCCTCGCTGGAAGTCTTGCCCCTTGTCCTGCTGTCTTTGTCACTCGAGACCAGGAGAGACTGCAAGCTAGTCCCTTTCTGTTCTAACTCCGGCTCTTGTTTCCCAGCTGGAAGGAACTCAGCTGTTTTAGTTAGAGACATATCCCTTCATGCTGATGCTGGCATGTGCCAAGGCTGATTTTCTTCTTCCTCTGCCACAGGACTACCCCAAGCTCAGCCAGTCTTACTACTCATTACTGGAAGTCCTGACCCAGGACCATATGAACTTTATTGCAAGTCTGGAACCTCACGTCATCATGTATATTCTCTCTTCCATTTCTGAAGGACTTACTGCACTTGGTAAGCACCTGGGTCAGCTCGTTTGTACCACTGAACTAAGCAGAAGGGGAGAGTCCATAGGATCATTGCTTTGGGGAGTTGACCCTACAACAGTATCTTGTCCAAGGTACATTCTGATCCAGCCTGAGGGCTGGGCACCTGTAAGGGGTTAAGGACAGGGTAACTAATACAGATCCAGTCCTTAAGGACCTTTGTATCTGGTGGGTGTTTCCCATACTGACCTTACTGCCCTCTCGTGGCCCCTCAGGAACAATAAATACCTCAACTCCTGGCTTTGAGGGGTGGGATCAAGGAAGACAGGCTGAAAGGCTTAGCGTCGAAGTGTCTGGTAAAAGCTAGACAGGTGGAACCCAGTTCCTAGTGGTGGGGACAAGCAGCACCAGAAACTTTTGACAAGAAGAAACCAGGAGGTTCAAATGGCTGGTGCACAAATGCAGAAGAGTTAGAACAGGAAACAAATGAAGCTGAAGAGAGAAACGAGCAAATGTGCAGATTGAGAAGGGTACCCATAGCAATATTAGGGAGTTTAGACTCCAAAATGCTGTGGGGCCTATGAAAGCTTTTCCATCCAAGGCCTTGTGGTTCCTGTCAACTATTTTGTTTTGGCTGCCTCCCAGAAATTTTAATAGATTGCACAATGTGTGTGTGTATTTTCAAAAAATAAAACATTTTTATATTAGGCTGAGCAAAACAGAGAAGATTAGGTCAACTGCAGAATTATATGTTGCAAATGTATGCAGAATGACTTTGGGACTACCAAGAATTAGCCACCCTGTGTGCCGCTTCTGTGATCCACGATTACTTGTCAGGGGCATTGCCATATCTAATATGGTCCAGTCGGCATCAGACTTTGCTTTGGGAGGCTGTTTCACATCTTCTTGAAAATACAGGAATCTCAAGAATCAGAACTGTTTTCTCTTTCAAGCCCCTTGGCCATACCTAGTCTGCACTGGCCCACAAGTTGTGCTGCCCCATTCCCTTGGTAAAAGAACACAGACAAGTTATGGACCCAGCTCCCTGCGATGCTTTGCCAGTAAACCATATATGTGCCACATTCTAACAAATGCAGATACTCACAGGCTATATGAAGTTGGGTTCCACGGCTTCCCCCCAGGTAACTCAGCATAAGCCCATACCTCAGACTTCTTGGTTCTAATCTCAACTCTGAATTACTAGCAGTGGTGTCCTTAAGGGGTCCCATAACCTCCAAACTCCGGTTTCCTTGTGTGTAAATGGAGCGCCTACCTCCTGGGAGTCCTTCAGAGGCTAAGTTGGTGATAGTACCTAGAAAGTACTTAGTGCAGTACCTAGCACAAATAAAGCACTTGCTGGATGTAAAAATATATGCGATTTTTTTTGTTTTGTTTTGTTTTGGTACCGGGGATTGAACTTGGGTCCTTGTGCTTGCACAGCAGGCAGCCAAACCACTGAGCTAAATCCCCAGCCTGATTTTTTTTTTTTTTTTTGATTGAACTCAGGACCTTGAACTTTGAAGGCAGGCGCAGTGCTGCCACTGAGCTAAATCCCCAGCCCTGCATTTTTTTTTTTGGACCAGGGATCGAATTCGGGCCCTTGCACTTTCAAGGCAGGCAGCAGAACCACTGAGCTAAATCCCCAACCCCCTGCAATTTTTTTTAATGAACTAGAAGACATCTAAAATATATTGAGCCAATAATTTAAATAATGTTTACATTACCTTCAGGTTCAGACTTAGAAACCAGGCTTTGCTGTTTGATAACAGTAAGAAACTAACAGGAAACACCCTCAGTAGTGGTCTTGGCTGCAGTGACCACAGTTGCTGGTCCAGCTGGGTACTTCCATGGGATCTCCACCAAGCCACCAACAGCATTTAGTATCCCTGCTCTCTTCCTCATGCCCCTTTCTTCCAGATACCATGGTATGCACAGGCTGCTGCTCCTGCCTGGACCACATTGTGACATACCTCTTCAAGCAGCTATCGCGTAGCACCAAAAAGAGAACGACGCCCCTGAACCAGGAGAGTGACCGCTTTCTGCACATCATGCAGCAGCATCCAGAGATGATCCAGCAGGTAAGGAGCCCAGGGGTCAGGTAGTGGTGATGGGTTGTCCCACCATGGGAGGAGGCCCTCTCCAACAGGGGCAGCCAGGCAGCATGGCCAGGTTCATGCTGCTGAGGGAGAGGTCTTGAAATTGCAGTGGATTTCAAGTTTGCTAAATAGTCACTGGATATAGAAAACCTGAAAAAACAAGAGCAGGAATGAAGGACTGAAGAAAGTAACTGACCACACACATCAAACCATATGCCTGTCTATATTTTATTTGTATGTAACAAAAATAAAAAGATTTTGAACCCACAGTACTAAAACAGATAAGGAAGCTAGGTGTGGTGGCACACATCTGTGATCCCAGCATTCAGGAGGCTGAGGCAGGAGGATCACCACAAGTTTGAGGCTAGCCTGAGCTACATAGTTCCACGTCAGCCTGAACCATATAGCGAGACCCTGTCTCTAAATAAATGATAGATAGACAGATAGATAGATAGAGGATCTTAAGAGATGTTTCGTATCTGTGGTACTGGGAAATGAATCCAGGGAAGCACTAAGCTAGATTCCCCAGTACTTTTTTTTTTTTTAATTTTATTTTGAGTGAAAATCTCATTCAGTTGTTCATGCTGGCCTCAAACTCCTGATCCTCCTACCTCAGCCTCTGGAGTAGCTGGAATTATAAGCATGTACCACCAAGCCTAGCTAGAATTATTGTATTTAAGTCAGTAGTATCTTAGCTAAACTCACCATTGTTTGTTGTACTGTCAAGTAGCGGTAAAATAATTCATAACCCCATTGCATCCAAAAAATGGCACAAAGCTTTTTCCTCTCAGACGGGTACCAGGAAGTGACATTACAGGGTGGTTTTGCCACTGTACTTCTGTTTGCTTGACTCTGTTCCATTCCCCACCAGTCGGCTTGAACTGGGAAGGTCCAATTGTACATGAAGTTATCAAACCAATTTAAAGAACAGGAAAAGAAATATCGTAGAAGAAACCTTGAAATAGATAGGAGACTAAAACGAAAATTCACCAAATATTTGTAACAGGAAAGGCCTTCAGCCTAACACATATCTGTCTTAGCTTGGGGAGCCACCACTAGGTCCCTACCTTCAATTCTGCTTTCAGATGCTGTCCACGGTGCTGAACATTATCATCTTTGAAGACTGTAGGAACCAGTGGTCTATGTCCCGGCCCCTGCTCGGCTTGATACTACTTAATGAAAAGGTAGAGTGAGCAGCTCTTGTTGGCTCCACTTGCCTGCACCACGAGGAAGGCTTTTAGGGATCCCCAGAATGGCAGAACAGGGGATATGGCCCATTTCCTAAGTGTGTGCTGTTCCTGCTGACCCGTTAGAAGACAGGAACGCGCCAGTCCAGATAGACAAAAGGTAAAGGGTGAGGAAGAATCTTCCGTGAGGAGTAAGAGAAACTCTTTATAAGGGAAAGTATGTCTGGACAGCACCTAAGACTCAGTTCTACTTCCAGCTGTCATAAACAGTCTTGCAGTTACTAAAAAAGAAGGGTCTAGGGCTGAGGATTTAGCTCAGTGGCACTGCGCCTGCCTCCCAAGCGCAAGGTCCTAAGTTCCATCCCTGGTACCAGAATAAATAAATTATCAAAAAGAAAGGTTTGGATCAGACGACCCCTGAAGTGTTTCACAAACTAAAAATTCCCGATCTTTAAGTAGGATAAAGACATATCCTGCAAGGTCTTGCCTGAATTTGAAAAAGAGAATATGCCAGTTTTAGTAGCCAGTATATCCCATTCCTTCCCGAAGGTCACAGGAGATCACTCTGCCTTTCCCCACCTTCTCTTACCTTGTTTCCATCCTTGCTCCACAGTATTTTTCTGACCTAAGAAACAGTATTGTCAACAGCCAGCCTCCAGAGAAGCAGCAGGCCATGCATCTGTGCTTTGAAAACCTGATGGAAGGCATTGAGCGGAATCTCCTCACGAAAAACAGAGACAGGTGAGTGTGGAGGGGCCTGCTGAAAAGTCCTGGGCACCGGTTACCTTTCACATCACTGAAACAGGGCATCCCTCCCACAAGGCTCTGTGCGCTGGTGTGGAGACCACCTGAAGCAGTGCTGGCCAGCAGGAAAGCAACTGAAAGCTCTAGCAGCCACATTTACAAAAAGCAAGAGGAACGGGCAGGCAGGGGTGAAGCGGAGCGGTAGAGCACCTTAGTTACCCTGACCTCGGCCCTGGGTTCAGTCCTCGGCACTGCCGAAACCGGCAACACACATTTGAATAGCATAGTTTACATAACCGTACTTACCTAAGATTCTGTGTCACTATACAGTCAACGTTTGAAAATTGAGAATTTTAACTTTTGTTACACTAAGCCTTCAAAATCCTGTGTAGCTTCGGTGTAGATGCTAAATTTTCACCAGAAATGCTTGACCTATATTTACATTTCATAATTTATAGTTTGTTCTATACCCAGTTGATTTAACTGAATATTTGGGTTTTTTAATTAATTTTTATGCAGTTTTGATGAGCACATTTTAATTTTAAATTCAAGTGTGGCTGGGGAACTAGACTGGACATTTTATGTAATTTGATTCAGTTCTCAGGCGGCACACAGGGCATAGTTCTAAGTGCTCACTAGCTGTATGTGGTTAGCAGCAACCAGATGAGAGAACATGGCCCTGTTGCCATTAAACATGAAACAGCTTCCTCCTCCTACCTCCCCCACTTTGTAAGGGTTACTTCCCATCTATCAGCGAGGTACCTTTTGTATTGCATGACATAGAGGGGGCACTCAGGGTCCCAGGTTTGACCATCTGCAGCCAGCTATGACATTGCCACAGAAAAGGGGGGGTCCAAAACCAGGCCGATTTTCCCTTATAATCTTAAAACAGATGAACTACAAACAAAACCCATCAACTCCTACGTTCTGCTTCTCCGTAGCCACTTCTCTGCTAAAAAAAAAAAAATTTAGGCAAAGACTTTTCCCTGCCACTCTCTCCCACAACCCACATGCATCCTTTCTGCAGGTTCACCCAGAACCTGTCAGCATTCCGCCGAGAAGTCAACGACTCGATGAAGAATTCCACTTACGGCGTGAATAGCAATGACATGATGAGCTGACACCTCCTTGGACTCTACCTGTACAGAGCAGCGTCCCTTTGGTGTGGCCCAGAGGGGCGAACAATTGCAAGGGAGAGGGCCTGGCTGATCTGGCTCTTTCCTCCAGGGCTGCGGGAGAATGGCAAAGGTCATCTGGCTACTTCCCCAGGGAATTAGGGGTATGCGTGCACTCGCTAGGGGGCAGGGCGCTGCTGGTTCCTAGGGGATGGGGTGGGAAAGGTGGTGGGAGGAGAGGAGACACGGACATCTGAGACTCTAGCCCCTTCCTCCTGGGGCCACCCAAGCGGGGAGAACCCCCAGTGTCCTGCCACAACCTGCCTTGTATAAACATGTACATTTTTTCATAACATTTTGAACAAGGTTTATATTGACTCAAGTTTAAAAACAAAAAGTATGACTGAAAAATTTTTACAGAGTCTAGTGCACCAATGCTGATGTGAGGGGTTATGTATGCGAGTGAAGAAAATGTGTATTCTGGTGGCCTGAAGCTTTACTGGACAAGGATGTGTGAAAGTACAGAGATATATTTAGTTGACACAGTGTAGAGAGGCAAAAAAAAAGGAAAAATTCCAAATGTATATTTTTTATTGCCCTTTCCTTGCCCCCTAAATGACCACTTCGTATTGCTGTATTAACCCTTGTTATTAGGAACTCTAAGCCATGCCAGAGCACCATCCTTTCCCTTTAACAGTGGATGCTGCCCTAGGTCCCCTGGCCTCTTGCAGTGACAATAACTCCAGCTAAAAGTGTTTGGTGTTCTCCATCCTTTGTCCCACTTTGCTTACCTTCATCCTCAGACAGATGCCTCTTGCTTTTAAAGGTTGGTTTTAACTATGTGTTTTAAGAGTTCTTGCCAGGGATTTAGCTCAGTGGTTCCGCCGCCTCCCTTGCAAGCGCAAGGACCCGAGTTCCATCCCCAGTACCAAAAAAAAAGAAAGAAATAAGAGTTCTGGGTCTCTGTAAAGGGACAGATCAGAGAGACATCATTGAGCCCGTTGCTTTTCTGGTGAGCAGTTGGGATGAGTCCACCAGAGGCCCAGCCATGTGTGGCCACAACTTTGTCTTCCCTGGCCCTCGAGGCAGTGTGTGGATGTGTGTGTGTGGTATTTATGTGTGCCCTGCACTCGTGAATGTATGAACTGGAGGAAGTTACTACAGGGGAAGGTTCTTAATAACAAGGTCTACCTAGCATGAAGTATTTAACATTTTCCCACCCCTTGAAAAATATACATTTTTATAAAATGAAAACCATAATAAATGTTTTGAATATTAAAAAATTAACCTACAGAAGGAAATTGATGGAGAAAGCTATTTGCCTTGTACTTTTTCCACAATTGTTGCTGCTAGCTGTACACATCTCTAGTTCAGCTCTTGCCCATGGGACACTCATCAATTAGGTTTCATTTTTATTTTTCTCCTCTATCCCCGGAAACAAGCCTGTTAATTTTTTCCCTTCTCCTCTGGCGACTGTGTGGTGAATCCTTTCTTGCGTGATCAGGTTGCGGATAGACTTGTAAGGGTGTTGCTGCATACAGTGTAAGCATTGTGACCGCCAATAAACTTCAATGGTTTCTACTGACCCGGTTTCAGCACTCAAGTCTAGTGTGTGTACAGGGACCTGTCTCATTCTCAACATACAGTGGGTTTTGAAACATGCAATCTTAAAAGACAGTGGGTGCCAGGGGCCACCCAGCCATATAAAATTATCTTGTTTCTATTCAACTTGAGTCTGACTCAACTTCTTATGAAAGTATGGTTAGCTCAGTTGACCTACATATAGTGTAGCCTATGTTGTCCACAGCTGTAAAAGTGAAGCCACTTTATACCTGCTTCCGGGAGACAGCATGGCCACCTGCAGACAAGTAATAACTGAAGAAGACCCAGCGCTGGTCATGGTGACCCCACTCCTCTGATGTGGTCTGGGCTTTATGCAAGAGAGCCTGGCAAGTTCCAGGGCAGATGCTACCCCCTTGGAACACTGTGCAGACCTCAAGCCTTGGCTTCACAGTGAAGAACACTTGTTTGAGGGACCCCTCCTGATCCCTGTACCATACAGTGCCTGAGCATGGGGCGCTTCACTGCTAAAAACAGTATGGAGAGGTGTGTGTACCTTACCACACCTGCACCTCCAGTGACTCACAGGCTCCAGAGAGCCACTCTTTCTGCCTTACTTAGATGCTCTGATACCTTTTGTGCTGTTTCAGCCTTCTGGGAACTGTTGTCACCTTCTCAGTCCTAAAGTGTTTTGAAGGCAAAACATTTTATTCTAATGGCTAAAAGGAAGTAGAATTGATCTTAGTTAAATTCCATCTCCAAGCCTGATAGAAATAGAAGATGGAGAGGTTTCACTGATATACAAGACACTTCTGGCACATGTGCCAGGGACCTGGAGCTCTAATTCTGGAGTAAATGACCAAAAGAAATTAGGTGTAACAGCACATAACTAGTCCCAGCACTTGGGAGGCTGGGGCAGGAGGATCACAAGTTCATGCACAGCCTAAGCTACAAATAGCCAGACCCTGTCTCAACCAAAAACAGTGACTTTCACAGGTACTTAAAGAAAAATCCCAAGGCTTAGCGGTAGAGCACTGTCTTAGCACATGTGAGAACTTGGGTTTGATTCTGAGCATTGCAAAAGGAAAAAGGAAAAAACAAAACTCCACTATCCCCCAGCTATTGTGAGGTGCCCTTTCGTCAGCAGACCTCCAGAGCCCACCCTTCTCTTCTATAAGAGTAATTTCGGAGGCTATGAATTCATCAGGCATGCTGGTCCCTTCACTGCAGCCAAGTCCACGGTGAGGTGAGGTGAGGTGCGGCGCTGAGAATCTCGGCAACCCATCCATTTAATCTGGAGCTGTTCCCTCCTCAGTGATCAATTGTAAGAGGAGGTTTTTGGTCAAAAGCCGTTAATTACTAATTTCCTATGCTTCAGCTTAACAAATGTAAAGGCCATTTACCTTTGTTTCCCTGAAAGGAAAAGTTTTCCCAGAAATTACATGGAGGTTTTATTCAGTGAAAACATGAGTTTAGGGAATCTGAGGCTATTTCCTAGGCACTGCGCACATCAAACCAAGTGTCTTCAGACACTTTTCTAAAGCAAGCTCTGCCTTACAGTGAAACAGCATTTAAATTCTTTCCTGCTGGTTATTACATTTTACTATGTGTGTGTTTGGTTGGTTGGCTTAGTCCAAACGAGTTCTTTTCTCACTGAAGTGTAAGGAAAAAGAAGAGATCTGGCTGAGAGTCAAACAATTTTCAGTTTAAATTTTAAGAAGTTGTGACTTATAGCATAAGTATCAATTTTCTCATGACAAGTAAAACCTAAGAAATAATAGCATTTCATTCCCCAAATGTAGACTATTATTAAGGACTTTTTTTCCTCCCAAGTGGAAAAATGTTTCAATACCTTATGAAATTCCACCCATGTACACAAACTTTCGGAATACCCATGTGCTTAGAGTAACATGAATTAAACAGCTAAAACACCTCTCTGTGTGTACTCACCTTTGCCCAACTCTTCACCCGCAATTTCTGGCTAGACCTACAAACTAAGTTGAACTCGAATGCTGCCCAGTTGTCAAATGCCAAAGCAAAAATAGAGAGGAAAAATAGTTATAGGTAACCCTGTAAAAGCCCTGAAACATAAAACTGAAAGAAAAAATACACTCACCAGTCATCACTAAACTGTCAGTTAAACACTAAGGCAGTTCCCTCCAGCTGTCTGCTGAACATATT